AAAAATAAGAGCGCGCCATCTGTCCTGCTACCAGTTCAGAATTTTACAGAAACAAGTTCAGGGTGTATGAAACAGCTGTCATTCGCATAGTTGCCAGTTGGTGTATGTAAAACTTGAAATTTATTCAAAGCCTTTTGAAATCAGATGACTGTTTCTGATACACCTTGTATTAATGCAGAACTTTTTTTTTTTTCGTTGTTAATGTTGATCACAGTCACACAGATTGGCTGTCCTTATATGGTCATCTTAAGAGACCCTACCCACCTGCTGTTTAAACCTGCCAATCAGGTGAATACTGGCTGAGGAAGGGGGGGGGGGGGCAAGGTGTTTGTTTCAGGGCAAAGTCAAAGTGAGTGTGGTTTGATTCCACAGACCCAAATCCCCTTCAGGGGTCACTTTAAATCAAACAGGTGGACCTACCCACTGTGGCGCCCCCTTGTGACAAGGCGATGCAGCTTATAGAAGCTTTGTGTCAAAGTTTGGTATTTTTAGCCTTTATGAACATTTTGTATTTGAGTCTAAATTTGGAAACACTTTAACCTCATACATACGTGGACTACGAATATTTCAAGACAGCATTTGTCTCTGAGGGTTGTTTTTTTTTTTTTGTTTTTGTTTTTTTTATCTGTTTAAACAGCATTTTGTTTAAATGTTGAAGCAACCAGGTCAAGTTGCTGAACATTTGTGAAATAACATTAACCTCCTAGGACCTGCGTCCACATATGTGGACATCACATTTTGGGTTATTTAGACCAAAATACTCAATTTTGCTCTACAAGGGCCTGATATCCACTTACGAGGACATTATGCTGCTACTGTTCTATCAAAATTTTAAACGAATACCCTCATATGTGGCTCTTATTTTTCTTAAAAACAAAAACAAGGAAAAAAAAATCTGGTAATTCTTTGCTTTTACATTCATCAGCCCCCAATATGCCCAAATATCAAAGAGAAATCAAAAATGCTGCAGTGGAAGAGTTCGGGTCTTAGGAGGTTAAAGAACAGTCAGCGTTCCAGCCGGTAGTTATGAACATTTATTTGTTTCCTTTGAATGTTAACACTACAAAGTACCCATTCTGCTCGACTAAAACAGGCAATACATTTCTTTTTTTTTTTTTTTTTTTTTTAAACAGCCACCGTAGCCTTCATCATCATCATCATCATCATGGCAGACCGTTGTAAGTTGGTGTTTAATGACATTCAGCCCATGCAGCGCTGATAAAACCAGGCACAAAGTAAACAACCAACACATCAGAGTCTGATAACTCACTCAGAACTGACACTGGTCATACAAGGTCAAAGGTCACATCAAGTCTGACCTTTAAAAAAACAAAAACAAATCCTGAAGCATTCAATCTACCATTTGGCTGATGTCCATTAAAAAAAAACAAAACAATAAAATAAAAAAAACAGGGAACATTTTATAAAAAGTATTGCATCACATCCAAAAAATGAGATGAACTGTTCTTTGACATACAGCGTTCATCAAGGTTAAACAGGAAGTAGAAATCCATATTTAAAGTTTAAAACAAACCCACCCCCGAATGAAGTTCCCCCATGTCTTCACAAAGAGCCTGACTTACAGGAAAACCTCCAACTGGAAATATTAACATGAAAAAAACAAAAGAAAACAAACCCGTTCGCCCCTCATTCACACGTCTGTTCCCTGAGGAACTCCTTGCCAACTTTTAAGGATCTTTATTAGTTTTTTGCTCACACCCAAAGTTTTAACTACAAAGGACTGAAGTACGAGTACCACACAACCACTTTTCACTGCTAACAAAAAAGAAAAAAAAAAGAGCTCTGCAATGAGATTGCACGAATGTTTCAGTACTAGAAATGATACGACGATGCGTTACAGCCACGGACCTCTTCTGGAAGAGAAATGCATCTGGTCAGCTGCAAACATAACAAATGAATAAAGACCACCAGCAGGGAAATGTTACTCGTTAATTATAACTTAAGAGATCAGGGTTTCACTCAATTTTCACCATCTGGAAAGATGCGTTGAGATTAGATCAGATTTAATGGAGCTCCAACATGGGCCTCAAACAGCACATAAACAAATGATGACAGTATTATCACGCATTTATGTTGATATCCAGGTTTTTAAACACAAAGTGTTACGCCACTCCTCTTCAAAGTTATTTCTAATATCATGTTTGTTTCTAGGCAGATGCATTCCTCTGTGTAAACAAGGACAGGAGGAGTTGTCATTGGTTAAACAGGTCACATGATATCTCCAACGATCAGTGGTCCGACTCTTCAGGGCAGCATTAAAGTCAAACAGACGAAGCTTGCTCCTACACACTGTACATAAAAGATGGACATAAGGCTGTTCTCTAGTGTCCAGCAGGAGGCGGCTCCTCTGGTCCGAATGGGAAAATGAGCATCCTGCTCAGCTGATCTGAGCTCAGCAAACCCTGTTCTGATGTGTTTATGGTTCAGGTCTGACTGAAGAAAACAGGAAGTTTATTTTGGAGATTTTGGTCCCATCAGTCACGGAGGGACAGGAAGTACGGAAGTCGGTGCAGAAATCCATCGTCTTGCATCACGTCTGCTTTCTGAAAGCTGAGACGGTAAAATCCGTCAGCTCAACTCTTCATAAATGCGCTGACCACTGTTTATGCACATCTTTTACATACAGTCTATTTATGGCCTGTGATGGCAGCTGTGTGACATAAAGAAAAAAAGGCCTGACGTCATCATAAACCTGTGATCTCTCATTCAGGTCATCTCCTCTGGCACCTCCGCCCAGTTTTCCCAGAGTTCTGTCCCATTATGCCGAGTGAAGCTGCTTCAGGCTTCAACTCTCAGGAAGTAAAATCTGACGAATGGAGCGATCCGGCCCGACCGATGGGAAGAATACAGTCTGGACTTTAGGTTCTGGGTTCGGTTAATTCTGTCAGCACAAGCAGCCACACGAGGTTTTCAAAAGTCCAACAAGTTCTCAGTTTTTACTGAAATGTAGAAATTTGAACAAAGCAGTTTTGTGGCTTTGTTCATACATGCACAGTTTAGAGGTCCAGAACCCTAAAATCATATTAAATAAAATAATAACAGTGCAAATTTAGCGCTTCACACATCTGAAGTAAAAGGAGAGCTCTGGGCTTCTGTCAGGAAGGCCACGGAGACCCGAGGATTCACGGAGCAGCTGAAAAAAGCTTTTACGTCCTGATTTATCCGCCGCCCGGTGTTTGGCATTCCTCATCTGTCTACAGCTTTAACCACCCCTGATACATGAAAACTAAAGTAGAGACCAAAGAAACGCCGCACAGCCACGTCAGGAGTGCCAATGTTGGAGTCTGTCCACCAGAGGGCGCTCTGCCACGATCCTATTGGCCAACACAGTTGATGGAAAGGCTGCTGCAGAGAAGGATGCTGGGATAGGGCAAACTGGTTAATCCGTCAGCTGAAGAACAGGAGAGAGCGAGGGACAGCTGCAGGAGGCGCACAAGGAGGAAGCCTTAAAGAGAGATCGGCCAAATTGAGCTCAGGATTAGGATTTTCTGAACTTTAACGGAACGTCCGATCCGTCTGCCGCCGGTGCGTAAAAACCACAAAAGCGAGCTTTTCTTTTCACCTGATTTTGTACACACGGAGCAGCCACAGTCCTGACAGGAAATTAAACTTCTGTTTGACAATAAAAAGAATTTCATTTTTACTGTGTTTACATACACGTTTAAATTCTTCACTAATGTAAACAGTTATTTACTCAACTTGATATCAAAAAACCAAAAAAAACAAACATTTTTTGTCAGATTTTGGATTCCGTATGAATCAAACCTTCAAAGAATAAAGTCCCAAAAAACAAAGAAACATCTCATGTCGAGTGGTTTTTATGTCAGACCAGGCCTGGGGAAAAAACTAAAATCTGCTCGTTGATCAGGTGAGATTTCGCCGCTGCGCTTCAGCTGAGGTAATGAGGTCTCATGGAAACAGGAAGTCAAAGAAACACTTGAAAAATGAGGTACGAAAACGAGACGAAGCGGTCGGTGAAGCAGAGACAGGACAATAAAAAAAATTTTTAAAAAGTCTGATTTTCGCCTGAGGTGACCAGAGTTCTGGATCCTCCAACGGTCAGACGGCCCCGGCTCGCAGACGGTTTCATTTTGTGCATTTCTGGTCCTTGTTCAAATTGAACCACGGAGCTCTGCAGAGCTCGCCGTCGTATTGCTTCAGAGTTGAAAAAAAGGTTCACACATTTACACAGCGTGAAACAACGGATTCTGTGATTGTTCGTGCTGACGTTTCTCAGAGATAAAAACTCTCAGGATGAATAACTTCCTGTCACCTGATCCTTCCTCCCTCCATCCTCTTCCTCCAGCAAAACATGAAAACGACACGCAGAATAAATCTTTAGATTTTCTTATTCAGAGTTTGACTTGGCGAACACTAAAAGACTTAAAACAGATGTTTACGTTGCATTTAACTATTTGACAGAGTGAAAAATTTGAAATTCATAATGAAAAATGTAAGAATGCAAATGTTAAAGCAAAAAAATTTAATTCAGGGGGAAAAAATAGCCACTCAAAGTGAAACCCAATGTTATGTTTTTTGGTAGGAATGGGCTTCCGTAGAGGACACAGCAGACTTACCAAAGGTCAATTCTTAGAATCAGTTCCAGCTGATGACCTACAGAAGCCCAGTTGTGCAAGAAAAGTGAAGATTTTGCCTTTATAAAATCAAAATGTTTCAGGATTTTGTAGAATCCTGAATTAATGAAGAATAAGGGGGGGGGCGATCGTGGCTCAAGAGTTGGGAGTTCGCCTTGTAATCGGAAGGTTGCTGGTTCGAGCGCCGGCTTGGACAGTCTCAGTCGTTGTGTCCTTGGGCAAGACACTTCACCCGTTGCCTACTGGTGGTGGTCAGAGGGCCCGGTGGCGCCTGTGTCCGGCAGCCTCGCCTCTGTCAGTGCGCCCCAGGGTGGCTGTGGCTACAATGTAGCTGCCATCACCAGTGTGTGAATGGGTGGATGACTGGATGTGTAAAGCGCTTTGGGGTCCTTAGGGACTAGTAAAGTGCTATATAAATACAGGCCATTTACCATAAGTCAAAGTTTCAATCTCATAATCCAGCCTTCATGATAAAAACTGACTGCAGTTCCTCTGACGCCCAGCAGAGGCAGCAGTGAGTCAGCCCTCCTAGACTCCCATGTTAAAATAAACACGTTGGTCTCTGTGGATCATTTCCTCCTTTGTAGAACCTGTACAGGGCAGAATGTTTTCACAACTCACCTGTTTAAAGGTTGCATTATTAGGGGCGTGGCCTCAGATAGGTGGTTGGTGACACAGGCGGCTGTAGCTGCTAGCTTCACCTCACCCCATAATATGACTGCTGTGAGCTCAGCTGGTTTAACCAGTCTGAGCTGTGGGTAAAATGCTAACGCTGAGGCGACTCGTAGCTTCATGGAGTTCAATTATGTCTGAACAACAAAATATGAGAAAACAAAGAAATTCTGCAAGTGTGACACATTTTGTGTTGGTGAGATGGAAGGAGGAAGGAGCTCACCGCTGAGCTTCGCATTGGAACTGAAGACCCCTCCGATGGACAGGAAGTTGTTCCTTCCCTGTGTGTTTTCGTCCTCGGAGCGATCGAGGAACGCTGATAAAACCACAGACATGGACTCGATGATAATCCAAAGAGAAACCTAAAAAAGGGCACTTCAAAACCAAACGAGTAGAAAACGTGTGCACGCCGCACAGACACAAACCAGCAGGCAGCGAGCAAAGAAGCCAAAACAAGCCTACAATTTACAGGAGGAGGATGTGTGCGTGTTTTCCCTCAGTTACCCCTGACCTTTGACCTCCTCCGCCTCAAAAGTTTCTGCACTGGTTCAGATTCACGCTGTCGAGTCACCTCCAAAAAACGTTTCCAGGTTCTCAAATGTGCGAATTGGCCTCCGTATAAACCCAAAGACATGCAGACTTTACACCGATCTTCCTCCTGAATTTGAGGCTTTATTTTTGAAATTGTTCTAATAAACTTCAAATAAATGTCAGATTTTTCCTCGCTCGTCTTCCTGTCAAACTGAAATCAAACAGTTTCAGCAGTTTGTTCCAGACCAAACGTTAGTAAACGTGACAATTTTAGATTTCTTTCTGTTTTGAGCTCAAATTTCAGAAAAATTACTGAATTAAAAAAATAATCTGAAAATAATCGAAACGAACTTCAGACGCAGCCCGCGACTGTGTTCTGTTTTGTCTAAAGTTTTTCTGGTTGAGAAATAAAAAAGTTAGAGACCTGAAAACTTTCAGGAATTTTAAATATTTTAAGAAACAAACATCAAAGTTAGAAAAAAAAAAACTTTGGCAGAACGTTTTCGCTCTAACGTTTCCTGTCGCTGAGCCGGATCGTTCAGAACCCGGGATCCTGCTCCGGGGGTACCAATGAGAGCAGGCCACTCTGATTAGAGGTCAGTTTTGCAGTTACTTCCTGTGGCCTTCCAAACGGTCTGTGTAACAGAATAAAACGTCCCGCTGCTCTCGCCTGCGTACCGTCTGGTCCCAGATCAGGATTGGTCGCTGTGATGCTGAGTCCGGATGTGGCTGTGGAGACGTGTTGCCGAGGAGAACCTTTTGCCGCAGTCGGAGCAGCGGAGTGGCGAGGCAGCTCCGGCGGGCGGCGATGAAGGCGATGATGTGGCGGCGTTTCCAGCGCTGTGAGTCTGGCGGTGAGCCTTCAGGAGGGCTATCCGGCTGAACCTGCGGCCGCACTCCTCGCACTCAGACCAAACCCGCCGCCGCTTCCGCTGAAAGACAGGAAGAGATGTCAGCTCGCCATCTAAACATTAAAAATCAACCTTTGTCTGCTTCCTGCCCTCTTGTGCGCTCCTCACCTTCATCCCTTTATCCTCCTCGTCTTCCTCCTCTCCCTCCTCCTCCTCCTCCTCCTCCTCTCTGCCAGTCTGAGCAGGCGGCTCGACAGCGTCTTGCGGCCTGATGGAGCCGTCAAACGCCAGACAGCCGAGCGTCTCCTTGGCGGTGGCTTCCTCATCGTCATCAAGCAGCTGGGAGGGGAGCGTGAGGAGGCGATGAAGCATGGAGGCTGAGGACCGTTGACCTGAAGGAGGGAGCGAGGTCAAAGGTCACGGTTTCAGATTCCTCTCAGTGTCAATAAAAACATCATCAGATATTTTTACAAACACTAAGTTTTCTGACTTTTTATTCATGAAACTAAAAATCATGCATCCTGTTTCGCCCACTTCTCCTTATCAGGGTCATGGGGGGTGGAGCCTATCACGGCTGTGACAGGGTGAGAGTGGGGCACACCTGGACAGGTCGCACCCAAAACTAAAACGCAGCCATGCAATATTCATACATATATGTATGGAAACATATACATACTGGAAAAAGACATATTAGTACATATAACTGATCATTAATGTTGCTCTTTTTATAGGATCCAGTTGTTTCCATTCACGCTGCTTTAGGAAGCGTAAACTTCACTGTCACGCTCTCAGATGTTAAAATGTTACTACTGAGTATTTAATCACACATAAACCTGTTAATGTTACATTGTTTCCTGAAGCACTGAGGATAAACTGCAGGTGCCTCACATGTGGGGCTGAGGGGGGGTCCGGGTGGAGGTCCGGGTGGAGGTCTGACAGCGGCGGCAGCGCTTATCAGACTGCCCGCAGCTTCATCTTCATCGGGAGAAAACACCTCCATGTCCTCCAAAGGAGTCCAGCGGGGGTCCTGCTGTGGGGAGGAGGGGGAGGGCTCCAGGGTCACTGCCGGGGTGGGGGCGGGGATAATATGAGTCACACTCTCTCCTAACCCCCGCCCACTTCCTCCTCCTCCACCCCCGCCAATCTCTTTGACGTTCCAGACGTCGCTGCACCACTTCTGACCGAAGACTTTGTCCAGGATGGGAACCCAGTCCTGAGAGACAGACAGGACGGGGGGACGCTCCGGGACTGGGGGGGGTAAAGAGGGGGAGGAGGAAGGTTAGCTTCAGCTAAAATAACAGTCACTCCACACACCTGATCTGACTCACCTGTGGAAACACAAAACAGGACACCAGCCACACCCAGTCAGGCTCACTGACAGCCAATCACAACCAACCAGCCGGTCAGAGTACGACACTCAGTTCCTTCCAGCTGATCACTCACCGTGTGTCTGCGGCGTCTCTTTGGACGCAGTGACCACAGCGACCTCCTCACGGGCGTCTTCTGAGCCGCTCGGGGACACAGAGTCGTTCTCCGAGCCCCTCCTCCCCCTACCGCCGCCTTTCCCTTTGTCCCCGCCTCCTCGTTCAGCGCCCTTTCCCAGCCTCTTCTCCAGCAGCTGCTGCTCTCGCTCCATCTTGGTGATCTCCAGCAGCAGGTCGTCGAATGACGCCTCCACGATCTTCGTCAGCTCATGCACGGCGAAGTCCAGGACGTGCTCCATGACGGACTTCAGCTGGTCTGTGGAACAGAGATGGGGGCGGGGCTAATTATTGGCGAGACTGGCTGTGAAATCACAGTTCATGATGAAACAGGTTGCAGGGCCAGCTGAACAGCGCCCAGCAGGGCAGAGCTTCACACAACTAAAACAACTATTTTCTGAAACTTTGATTGATCGATTGATTGGTTGGCTGATGGTTCTGTCACAGTGACAACGACTTTCATTAAAGCTGCTAGCAGCCGAGCAGGCGTCGCGGATCAGAGGATTTTCAGCACGCTACGATTCGGGGATACTTCAGTGACACTCTGTGAAACTCAGGCTTTCACCGGGTTCACCAGCTGTCAAGCATCGTCTGACCATCAAAGCTTTTCCCTTCAGCATCGTCATCCTTTCTATCCACACACAGCAGTTTGACCTTTGACCTGTGGGGTGTGTATGAGGACGTTAGGAAGTGAACTGATGCTTTCTGACGCCGCCATCGCTGATATCCTGAACTCTGGTGATGCATGACGGTGACCTAGTAATCTCGGCGTGGGTGGGGCTCAGCAGCGTGTTTGTGTGCTGCAGTCGACAGATGTGTGCATGCATGCGAGAGAGCGTCTTTTATCTCCTGCTCACATGTCCCTGCATGTGGACGCTGCTGCAGTGCAGTGAGAGACAGTGTGTGTGTGTGGCGTGAAGACCTCAGCACAGCGGGCGCTCATCGTGGGGTTACTCCGATTCAAATCATTTCCTGTTTTTTCCTTGAGTCTTTGTGGGAATTTCAGGATAAAGTGGAGTCCCTCACACTCCTGACCACGAGGCCACTCGGGTCCGACTTCAGCGTCATGGTGAATCATCCACAGAGAAACACTGACCGAGGAGGATTTCAGAGCAGCATGACAGTTACGAGTTTAACCTCAGAGTGAACCAACGCAGCTGGACTCTGTCAGAGCGCAGGGCGCCAACAGACAATGTGCCGACACATTCAGCCTGAAACGAGCACGTAGGCGTGAGACGCCAGTCTGTAACAGGGCTCTAGAGTGCGACCAAATTTTTCAGTGGTGCGACTAAAAATAAATATTTGGTCGCACAGGTGCGACCAACTGTTCCGGTAACAAAAAAAAAATCTCTGTAACTCTCTGTGTGGTCAACAACAGACACACATTATGCCCCTATCGTGGACTAAACCAATCAGAGATAGTCAGGGGCGGGACCTCTCTGATTGGCCGTGGTCCAGTTGAAAGTGCAGGTGGAAGAGAGAGGTGAGTAGCTTGAATAAAGCGATATCAATTCATTAACGGATTCCACACAAAGACCTAAAC